CACCGTTGAGCCTCATTCCCTTCCTTCTTTGCAATTGCAGTCACAATATCGTTTCCGTCCGTGGATTCCAGAATATACGCGGCCAATCCAGCTGCTCCTGCGTCTTGCTCCTCATCGATCTTTGGAGGATACACCAAATTCAAGTCACTGTATAGCTTGAAATTGACAAAGCCGAGCAGTGTCTCGTAAAGCTCCAAAAAGGTGGACATAACTCTAAAGTCGACGTCGGTGGGAACCTATTGATATATCATGTTCAGCGCGCGCTTTCAATGACACAATCAGACACGGTAGTCTTACGTGTTGTGAGAACTGATAGGGTACAATCCAAGTTATTTGCTGCCCTTTGATTTCAGCCTGGTAGTAGATTCCTTTGATGGACAAAAACACCTTTCTCAAGCTCCTCGACACCATAACGTAGTGCTGGAATTCCGCGCTCAGTCTCTGACACTGACGCACATGTTCACTTTTTATCTTATCGGTAGCCGGTAGGGTAGCAAACAGAAAGACCATTGATAGGGCATCATCCAAATCCCTCAGGGCATCGACGAACGTTGGGTATCGTTCTCGGATGATATGGTCAAGTGTATACTCTGGTTTACTTTCCTCCAGATTCTTTGCTTGCGACCATTCACGCTTTGCGATGGCCTTGCTGAGTTTTCGAGCAAAGATTTTTTGCTCACGGAGGGTGTGGAGAACAGGTTCGTGGAGGAGGAATTGAATGTCTTTGCGGTAGTAGTATGTTTTGGGAGCGGTGGAACCCTTTCCCACCTTCTTCTTGTTCTTGGGTTCCCGAGGGTAGATTCCTTTCAAAATACATAACCGTCTAAACTCAAAAATGTGTGAGCTCAGGGCTCAACAACAGCGAGCGGCATAAGCAGATGAGCAACACACCTGAAATGGGCCAAACTAATCTGCAGCTTTTTGACAGCTTGAGTTCGGGTGATAAAGTTTGTCACCGCTCCCTTCTCTCCCTTCTTTTGCTTCTTGCCCATGTTGAGGGATCAGTCGCAATGTATGTGTAGTTGGAAACCCAGACTTGCTAGTTTTTGGTGAAAAAGAATTCATATGCTTACGCAGCATCACGTGATGTTTACCGCGCCTCGTCGAGATCCCACCTACTGCAAAGAACCGTTCGTATGCAACTCTGAACACTAACAGGGTTCAAAGCTATTTCGATATATGAGTGTTTTGCTTATTATATGGACATGTGCACATTTGGATAGTTCGGAAAATGGAATTGTTGATTTGATAATTGCTAGGCCTAACGATCGGGCTCAGTGTAATAGACCACAGGATCTGCAAAAATGTTCGATCAACTGGCATGTCTGCTATTGTTGTGCCCGTTGAACGAGTCTGTTACATTGATACAGCAGCAGAAAATTACACCTGCACCTGGACATGTATCCATTACCGGTTATCTAACCCAACTGATGCCTCTAGCGGACTAAGGGCTGTGGTGGCCTGCATCTGGGCTTTTGTTGCTCCCGTCGTGCAACCTGTATCGTCTTGCTCCCAATCTTTGCCCTCCCCTTTCTTTTTAATTTGATGATATTTTCGGAGAATATTGCGGAAGAGAGTGATACTGGTGAGAAATATAGAAGGTTCCCTACAGTAAGCGCTTCGGAAAAGGACCATTTTGCTACAAGTGTCGTCACCCATTATGATTCCCACCCATTATGATTCGATACTATTGGGACGGATATGATTGATCGATAGCCAAATACAAGTGCGCTACCGTTATTAAGGAACTTTAACCGTATCTCTCTCTAGGCAAGTGAGGAAGCAAATGGCACACTTTTGTGCGGCCCTGCCACATAAAGTAGCCTAGTGATTAAGCAAATGTGGCCTAGTGATTTTTCTCGGGTGAAACGCTAAGGTCGTGAGGGGAATGGGATGCGGTAGTGGGAAGCTTGCAGGGAGACCAGTGTAAGTAACCGCCAAAGTATCCATTCTGCGGTAAGGTTCAGCCGGTGCAATATGTATGAAATATTCGGTACCTGTCTTCACCGAGTAGCTGGCCATGTCAGCCATAGCGCATGACCTCTTTAATTATGGGCAAATCCCCATCTACCAGTGCGTGCGAGGGCGAGGCAGTCCCTGTTAGTGTCCAGATGCATGCCCAACGGTTCTTAACAGTAGGTGGGACGCGTCTTGGATATTCTTTTGTGTTTTTACTCTGTAATGTCCAGAGTTGCATACGAACGGTTCTCTACATCCTGTGACTGTCTAGATATTCTTTGTGTTTATTCTGTAGTGCTTACGTATCCTGCTAGTGTACACAATTGCATATGAGCGGTTCTTAGTTGATATTCTTTGTGATTTGTCGGTTTATCCTGTAGTGTCCAGTTATTCTGTTTGTCTAGAGTTGCATGCGAACGGTTCTTAGCAGTAGGTGGGACGACTCTTGGATATTCTTTGTGTCTTATTCGGTCGTATCCCGTTCTTTGTGTTCTATTCCGCCTAGAGTACTCCTTTGCCTTTCACTTTTTTGCCGACCTTTCAAATCCCAGCAGGTTAGGGATCTTTTGCATGATTATAAACATTGCGGAATGTTGCGCTGGATAATCATCCTGTCAGGAAACCGCATTGGTATTCTTCAACGCGATTCCACCGGAAGTGCCTTCGACGCTGGATTGAACAGTAGTATTCATTTTCCAGCGTTCGCTAGTTTGCCGCTTCATCAACTCGATTTGATCCAAGCTGGGATTCAGAGGTTTTATTGAAGCTTGATCATCCTAAGGATATCATGGAGGACTACCTTGTAAAACGGTTAAGCGTCGTCTGCTGCTTCGGTATTGTATAATGATTGCTCACACCTATCTATCGTGTTTTGCAAATGTACAAGTAGATCCCCTAATGCTGGAGATTGAAGGAACAGGATTACGGAAACAAGGGAGGTTCAGATATGTTTACGCGCCACGCTTAGGACAAGGAATGAACTTTGAATGATGTGCATCCCTCTGAAACCAACCGATGGCATCCCAATGGGCATGCGAGTAATGCCAGCACACATTAGAAATTCGAGCGTGTTTGAGAGGATATACTCAAATCGTGCTTCTTAGAATATAGGATTCGCGGTACTTCTTACTGATGAAGTATTATCCGCTCGCTTGGCAGTGTTAGACGCTGCCACCAGAGGCTGGGCTTTGAGGCTGGGGACTGTACGCTATTAAAAGGGAACCCAGTCGTAATTGGATGTCCCAGAATGGATATATCCCAAGTTACCGGTGCGAGTCAACTATGCCGGTCGCCGTTCTCTGTGGATCTCCAACAGAAACGCCCGGAAGACCTTGTAAGAACGTTGCCGATTTGTATAACTTGTAGAATCACATCTGAATGGACTGTGTTGGGCTTTTAGTGCAGCGTAAGAGTATCGGTAGCTTGTTGAGATTGCAGATAATAGATTCCGCAAGGTCAGCCCAAGGCGACAGTCAAATTGGGTCACAGATTGTCTCAACTCGTTAACGTTACGCTTTCATGTAAATATGACCATGGTGTGGAGTATCCTTTCCTGATCTCCGCCTTTTAGACTGTCCACGTCCCACTCTTTCAGCAGCACGATGCAAGTCTATTGTATTCGGCGTCGGTGGATGCATAGTCTCATTTGTAAAACGATTTAAAGACAATTAGATACATCTGGATTAGAATAGTGTAATAAATTCTCTGCTACCAGCCTTGCAAAGATCCGCACAAATTGATGCTACATGCAGCTGCTTGTAGTCCCTATTTTTCTTAGAGTAGGTATCATCGTAGTTATTGTGCTAGAGCGTTGCGACAAATTGAGGTCGCATGTATTACCAAGAATGACTGCACTGTACGCGACCCTATTTTCTGTAGCAATGGATGTTTAGGTTTGTAGTGGTGCTCCTTTGGATTGTTTCACCTGCCTACCCATTCAAGTCAGTGTCCCATACGACTGTCTGTCCCGATCTCAAGTTTGAGTCAATTTGAATTCAAAGTAGTCGGTATATTGGTGCCGCAATGCGTGAGCGTTCTATCTTGGTCTCTACTGAGAAGCTAGCCCAAGAAATGATCGCACCTCCATCAATGTTTTACAGGGTGGTCAATCTTTAATCTTTCGCAATTTGACTTTTTCATGTCGTCTTCCCTTTGTATTAGACGCATGTCCTGTCATCGTCATCTCTGATACGCCAAATCGATTTCGTTACAAAAATAATGGGACCCTTCAAGTAGTTTTCTATGCAAGACAGAAAAGTACACAGAGAGCATTCTAACGAGTCCTATCTGACTTTTCCCAAGATGACTTGCGGCAAAAATGTTTCCACAAACGGGAATGCATGAAAAAGCGGGTAGAGCTTTTGCAAGGAATTCATTCTTTCACTCGCTCACGCACATGAGTTCTTTTACCTTTTCTCTTTAACTCAAGGCTGTTGATTTGGCAAATTCCACAGAGCTCCCATCAAAAATGAACCCAAAGGTCGTGCTGAAGAGCAAGGCGGACAGTCTAAAACCGACGTTTAAATCCGTGAGATATTCGTAGAACCAGGATTGAGAACAACTCTGTAGGATGATAACGTTGAGTGATCTTCCGCGTTCCGATAAAGCTCTCATCCACACAACCTGCCTGCTGCAGCGATGCACAACCGTCCCCCTAATTAATCAGTGCCTCTCAACCAACAGCTAACTTCCCGACAAGTTTAAAATACCCTCAGGCCAGTTCGGTTCTAGAATTGAAGTCCAAGACCTCTAAAGCAGATTTCCGAGACGCTTTTGGGTTGATTCGGATGCATATAATTGGACTTTGCTTTTAAATCATTTTTCTAAGGTTTACTGATGGTTTACAGTCGTCGCTTATGAGTTTCCAGGTGGTCTAGCGGCCAGTGGCCAAAGGGTAAACTGTCGTCGTCAAGTAAAGCGGAACAGAGAGTCGAGTAAAGCGGAACGAACAGAGAAGCTCGGAAAGGGCGAGGTCAATCAACGACCAAAGAATGCGAGTGAGCACCGAGATTTTTGCATAAATCATACGGTAGACGAATTAGGGAGAGATCCTCCCAAGATAACTATATTGACTGGAATCTAGCGGCAGTATGTCTATGTGATTGATCACCTTAAAACAAGCAACAGTTCCTATCTCTCGAATGCTTCTCAGTCTTGGGCGCACCAAGTAAGGATTCCTATTAGTGAACCATACTAGATTTCATCTTATCCTTGCAGGAACAATAGACACCTTAATGATGGTGGTTTCAAACGGACTCTCGCTCAAAGTTCCGAGACAGTGGACACGAAACAGGAAGAGTCTTCGTGTCTACTGAGTGGCTCTACCGCTTGTGTGGAACACAACGATGTGTGTGGGGTCTGTGAAGACAGCATATCATGTATGGAGCCAGAAAGCTTGATGGCATTAGATGATGAAAAAGGCCAGGATGTGTCTTGTTTTATAAACGCCTTTATGGGCTAGAAGGACGAGGGAGCGGGTGGGGCCTTACATAATGTGGCGCATGGCTCCGCGATCATCAAGCCGCACATTGGGCAAGATCAGCTTCAGAATCAAGACCTCTTTCGAATCAGCTTCACAATCATGTTTAATAGCCAAAGCCACATGAATAATTGGAGCTTCCAACGTTGCGCAACTAAGGCAGTTCAACAATTTAACTGCACCTAACGGGAATTTGCATACGAGGCAATGCTGCGGGTAACTTTACCTGTAGCCGTTATGCAACCTTTTATTATTATCGGCGTGGTTACCACGTTCCTCATGACCTACATGTTTGAAAGGCGCTGGTAGACACAAATTTACGTCGTGTGCCTGAGCCAATATTCGTTTTACATTATTGTCGGCTCAGATGACAAAAGTTCCTTAGGGCGTAAAATGGTATGGACGTGGCATTGCGGTGTTTGAGCAATACCGCAGTAACCCCTCTCCCCCTATCGCCCGGCTACCAGAATAACAAAGTTTCCCTCTAGTTTTCTTATTCCTGCTGGACAACAAATCCAAGTGATGCAGTTGAACACCACACCGGGCAACAAGAAGATCCCAGCTCTAGAACTTTATCCTGCATTGCTGATAGTTTGGAGGTTGTGGCCTGCCATCGGATTATTTGTCTACACAATGAGTTTCCAACAGCATTTACTGATCCAATGATCAGGGAGTGATAAGAAACCTGTTCGTTGCATTGATGTACGATATCCCCCATCCATACTTTAACAAGAGTGTTTCTATGCAGCTCGTGGCACCAAAGATCTGTTGTTTTCGGTCAGCCATACTTTAAAGAAAGGGTCATATGCAACTCGTGACACTCAAAGACATACTCGTTGCATCGATGCACGAGATCCCCCAGTCATACTTTAAAGAAAGGCTCATATGCAACTCGTCCTTGCCAGGAAGCCGAAAAGTACACTATTTTATCCTCGTTACAAAACAGTGCAAATCTTCCGCCATGGCGCAAAAGAATCATTAGTAAGGAACTGTTCGCATGCAACTCTGGACGCTGGCAGTTCCAAAAGCATGAATCATCCGCCATTCGCGTTCATGCAACTCTTGCAAACCATACAAATTAACCGCCATACTCGTTCATAAAGAACCGTTCGTATGCAGTTCCCTACAAAGCAAAACAATTTTCCGCCATAAACGACTGTTGGGTTGAGTGCACCTTCTCAGTACGTTTTCAGCACACTTGAGGTGGATAACTCTGTTGGAAGCTCTGCCGTTATGCTGTCCCAGTCGTAGAGAACGTCTCTGGGGACCTTTCGTCGAGAGAGTAGCGCATAAGACAGCTAACTAGAATGTGATATGACAAGCCTGTAGCCGCAAACCAGGATTTTTCAGATCAGTTCCAGTTACCTTGATTAGTTAAGAACTCGCCGGGTTATTCAAGTTTCCGTCCTACGACATGTTTGAAATCAGCTAATTCCAACCGAGAATGATTCATAAGCAGCTCTGAACATTAGCAGTTGCGAAACCATACCTATCTCCGGCCATAGTCGTTCGTAGAGAACCGTTTGTCTGTAGATCTGAGCATTAGCGGTTACAAAACGAGCCCCCCTCTGTTCATACACAATTCCCTAGGCATATAGCGTATATTGCATCACTGCTCCCTACGACTGCACCTGCAGAGGCCGAGAAGCGAGGCAGGATAACATGACTGTCAAAGAACATCTTGACACGAATTAAAAGTACGAGGAATTTGAATTTGCAGGTAGATTTTTTGTTTTTCTTCATTTTGGTTGTGGGATGGCCGTGGACATGAAAGAGAAGGCTATGAAATAGAATTTAAGACTTGTGGTGATGGGTCTGGTATGCAGCAGCGGGTGTGCCATGCGTACCTACGTTGGCGTCAAGACGGAGACATTTGCACAAAACGATGTACCTCTGCTTCATGCACTCACCACCCACAAGCCTAGCCTCATTTATACTATATGTTTTTGATGCCGTGAGCACTGGCGCTGTAGTTAGGGCCCCTTCTTGCGGCATCCATAACCTCATTTCTGGTGTCGATCCAGAGGATTTTTGAGTTTTGCGACGACGCGGCGGAGGGAGACCTTGGTTCGGAAGCTTTCGTGCGAGTTTCATCCGATGCAAAAGGGGTAGATGATCAAGTCATCTGGGTAAGAGGGACAAAAAAAGCAAACGCCAAAGAAAATGGAAATCCTCTAGACCGAAATAAAGGATATCTGGACGCTAGCAGGTGAACACAAAGAGGGCATGCATCACTCGTAGAGATCGTTTCATATGCAACTCTGGACAAATGCCAAAGGATATCTGGACAAGTCGTGGCTTCTTGATTCAACTGTCCCTCTCAGTACTTTAGCAAACGCCAATCAGTAATACTCTGCCTTAACAGGAAAAATAAAGCGCCCAAGCGAATAGGGAATGCTCCAAAGGATATCTCCTACATACGCATGCTCTAGACAGGACAATGGATATCTAGACACCGGACACTAACGCCAAAGGGTATGCTCTAGACGGGACAATGGACATCTGGACACTGAACACCAACTAGCGTAGAGACCACGCTTATGAAGCTTTGGACCCTAGCAGCAGGATATCTCGACACACATTACATAAATAGTAAATAGTAGTTTGGTCCTTGTGGTGTTGCAGTAGAAGATCTCAGCTACAGAAAGTTGTATGATTGCAGTGCGCCATTGAGTGGCGGGTCTTTATGGCCGAAATCTTCAGCTTCCTGGGTGCTTTCACAAGAACGTACAGCTTGTATCGACGCAACCTAGGCTCTGCCGGCCCCGCTCACCAGACCTTGTTATTCATCTACCCAACCAGCAATTGCCTCGCTGTTCCCCACCTTTATTGCCCGGATTTCCACCAGCACCTCGTCCACACTGACCTCTCCAACGACAAACCTGCGGGGCTCATACCCAACACGTAAATTCCCTCGCTTCGGGGGCGTTCATCGGACAAATGATTCGAATTGAACCATCCCTGAGGGCCGCACAACTAAGACGTAAATGATCTCCCTCGTTTCGTGGACGTTCACCGAAGAAATGGTACCTGCACCGGGGGGATATGAAATGGGCGGCATATAAAGTGCTGAGCTTGTCCAGTGATGACGTCTATACGAGTTAGAGAGAACCGTTTGTATGTAACACTGGACGCAGAGAACTGTTTCTATGCAACTGTGGAAGTAGAGAACCGTTTGCATGCAACTCTAGACAAAGAGAATACCTGGACACTACAGGATAAAACGATAAATCACAAAGAATATCTACGATGCGTCCACCTATTACTAAGAACCGTCGTATGCAACTTTGGACGCTAACAGGAGAAAAAGTGAACGGAATAAAACGCAAAGAAGGGGGAATAACACAGAAAATATAGCTAGATACGTCCACCAGGATAAAGCAGACAGAGACGCGTTCATCTACTGCAAAGAACCGTTCGTATGCAACTCTCCCGCTACAATCACAAAGAATATCCAAGACGAGTGCTCATCTACTGCAAAGAACCGTTCATATGCAACTCTGGACACTGAAAGGAAAAAAAGTGAACGAAATAAAATGCAAAGAATAGCTAGCTAAGTCCACCGGGACACTACAGAATAAAACACGGGGACGTCTCCCTCTACTGCTAAGAACCGTTCGTATGCAACTTTGGACGCTCCCTATGCGTCGCTGATCCAGGTCTGCCCACGCGTTCAATTATTTGCAATCAGGACCCCCAGACCCACGCGTTCACAGCCAGTATAACTCGCGACATTTAGATGGGCGCTATATGAAATACTCGCCACTTTTGTAGGAATGATTGAAATTCAACCATGACCGGTGAGTTCATCGACTTGAGCTGTATTTTTACGGTCTGGATAACTCTTACATATTTGGCTACTAGTGTCGAGAGAATAATTGGTCGTGGCGCCCAAAGATCACACCGGGTGCCTGGCTGCAAAAAAAGATTCGCAGTGAAATAACTACAGATAGACTAAACAACAGTAACAGCAGATGAACAGTAGTTTGGATACTTTGTTGGTCTTTGGACCGTAATATATTGACAGCTATATGTTGAATCCCCCCCCCCCCGTTTCTAGTCTACTGGGCCGGTCTCTTTTATCTTTCTACGTTGGGGCTGTCTTTTCATGTCTTTTAGTCGCTTTCGCTGAGCAGACAAGAGCCAATTTACCTGCAATAATTGCAGTATGCACCTCGTATCGAGACCAGAGAGAATAGAAAGACAGAAATGCAACTCGTGTCAAGAAATGCAACTCGTGTCGTGACCAGAGAGAACATGGAAAAAAAACATAATCACGAAAGACACTCATTCCCTGGGCGGGGTTCGAACCCGCGATCTTTGCATGGCATAATTATAAGAAAAAAAAACATTATACACGAAAAACACAGATTCCCTGGGCGGGGTTCGAACCCGCGATCTTTGCATGGCATAAGGAGTACGTCCTTATAAGTACAAAGCCTTAACCACTAGGCCACCAGGGATCCACGTTATGAACATTCCGTACGTTAATCATGAGTTTTGAACGTAACAATATTCGGGATGTTTAATCCAAGTTTACAAACAACTCCTACACATTTTTGCGCTAGTGGCCTAGTGGGTGAGGGTGGACGTAAAATCCAAGGCGAGCGCTAAGAATAATATAAAGGTATGATATATTTAATATAGTTGGTTCAGGCAGAAAAATTCTTTATTATGAACTTTAATACAAGTGCAAGACAAATTGGAAGCGACTGCACCCCATTCGTTGGCAGATGATCTTGTACTGCACTAGGTAAAGCTTGTACGCAGTGCTAGAACCCAGGCTTCGGCCCGCCGATAGTGAAAATCTTGTAGCGTTTCCACTTGTGATTCTTGTCATAGGCCTGTTTGGTGCTCTCCACTGCGTCCCTGACGAAACGAATGTTGGCATAGATGTGCCTCGCACCGCGCGTAGCAAACTCGTTCAACCATGTAGCCCAAAGTTCATGTTACGGGTGATCGTGGTGATTGGCAAGAAAGTCTGCAAAACGCATTTGCAGAGAATCATTGGCCAAAGTAGGAAAGTCGCCCGGATCCGCTGCGTTGAATGTGCCCCCCGTAGGATAGTCCTGCTCTAACCATTTGTAGAGGAGCCAAAGTGCATCGTTCTGAGCCAAGGGAAGGTTGAATTCCGCAACTTTTTCTGGTTTGGTTCTGCTGCGAAAGGCATCACGTCCTTTGGTGGGCAGAGTGGTCGACGGTCCAGCGGTGGGCAGAGTGGTCGACGGTCCAGCGGTGGGCAGAGTAGTCGACGGTCCAGCGGGTGTCGGTGCCAGGTGTCCAAGCAGGGTACGCTCATGGGTCCACAGTCTGGTCAGGTTGTCCCCATCCTCCAACAATGAAAAGACAGTCTTTTTCACAATGACAGTTTCCTTGCCACGAGAAATGGTCATTAGGCGGCCATTCTGATCCTTGATCGAGATTCCTTCATCCACAAAGTGAATGAAGCGCTTGTCATTGGGAAGGACCGTCGCCAAAGTTTGCGCTACACGAAGCTTGATGCGGAGTCGGCTACCGTCAGGATCTTGCCAAAATAAGGACACACGACCGTGTCCGTCAATCTTGATCAGAGTGCCCTCCAAGCTTGTGTGGTAGGTTATACGTCCCAGTCTCCTTTCGCGCTGCTTTTCACTTGAAAAGTGGTTCGCAGGCTGCCCGGCAACCATTTGCGCAACCTTGGCTTCGATGGCCCGCTGTAATAGTTGAGGATCTTGCATCCAAGAATCATCATCACCGGCACCTTCGGGTGCAAAAGGCCTCAGGACGTTCCGCATCGCTGGTACACCGCGCACTCTTGAAGCAAGGACCAGGGAGGACATGTAGAACGATGTCCCTTGTTTGCGACTGGCAGCCCATTGCTTCCACTGTTGCTCGGATCCAGGACCGGGGGGAATATGCATCATGAGGTCGGGATACTGCACTTTCCACAGATAGTTGACCTGTTCCATGCGAGACTCGCTTTGCGCATCTCCCTCTGCGAAAAAGCCTCGTACAACACGATCCTTGGCGGCCTGTTGGGCACGGAGAGCTTGCAATTCCCCGTAAAACACTGGGTGTCGGGTAGGAAGACGCGAGATCCGTCCTCGTTCGTTTTCGACATAGGAACGCAAGTCTTCTTTCGCGACATCGAGCTCTTGGTACACCTTGACCAGTCGAGGGTCGACAGTGGCACTGTCTGGATCCACAGTGGCAAAGATTCTCGTCACCATCTCATCACGATTGTCATGGCCAGCGCTGGCAACGTCCAAGGCCTTGGTTGCAATGAATATGGTGATCATCCATGCAATGTCTAGGACTCGACGAAGCTCCCAAGGTTGAGAACCATACTTGTCGTATCCCGGATGGTAATGGGGGATGATGATGGTGGAAAAGCCGGACGGAGGTGCGCTTGCTTGTTCATCAGTGAGCCAGTCGCGAGTCGCATAGTGTTGAATCCGCGGGCATCCCACTGCCGTCAAAAAGTCTGCGAGTGTCGTAAGGCCATACGGGCGGTAAAAGTTGGCCATCGCACAGGACGTCACTTTGAACGAAAAGGTGACGCACAAAAGGGGCCGAGTGACTCGCAAGTAGGATCCCAGCTGATCCAACGCAGCATCAACGGGTTCCAAGGAGAGCCAAGGGAATAGATCGACGAACGGAAAGGGCTGTACAGTGAGCTGTGTCGCATCCCACGATCGTAAGTTTTGCTCGGATGCTTGAAGGCGAGCAAGAAAGTCCCTCGTAAGATAGCCTGCCCGTGACGAACCAGAGAGAAAGGAGGAACCGCTCAAATAGTCTTCCCGGGTAACATCCTTTCCAATCAATGCCATAATGGTATGCCCATTGACCGTACGAGGCGTAGCTTGTGAGCGAATCGTGGAGAGCAAGGCATCTGTCATGGCATGCTGGGAGGTGCAGGTCTCGACTGGGTAGGCTTCGGTGATGCCAGTGATTTCGGTGATCCAGTCTCGCAGACCGGCTTTGATGGATTCGGTGCATGCGGCGGATGCACGTTGAAAGCGGTACCAAAACTGTGTCTTGAGCGTCTCAAACAATGTATGGTCTGTAATGTCTGGGACGTAGGATGCGTAGAATCCGCCAGGTTGCTGATTGAGTAGCGATTCACGTCCAAAGAAGGCAATCAGAATCCGTTCGCGATCATCCCGAATCTGGTCCGAAACAAAGACATCCAGTGTAGCACGCGGAAACTCAAACGTGCGTCCGGAAGCGTACGTGTCAGGGAACTGGCGCTCGAGAATGGTCGTGAAATGGCAAAGAAGGCCGCTGTCACGTTGCCTCATGTCCGCTAACATTCGCTTGTAAGGAACTGTAGGATACCGGCATTTGCCAACGTAGCGAATGTAGCACATGTTGTCAGAGCGCTGATCGGCAGGCAACAGCAAAAATGGGCTTAACCAAAAGTAGACCTCCTCGGGATCGATTTCGTCATCTTGCCACCTTTCAATCAGTTGATAAAGATCTTCAACTGTCATGGCCCAGCTCCTGATGTAGTACAGTTCCTGACCATTCTTCTCGGCATCCTCTTCTGCACGGATGATGTCGTCGACCGTAGACTCGCGAAGACCCAAGACATCCATCATGCTTGCATCGCTGACTTCCATATGATTGCGAAGTAGAGCCAACATGCCGTCGACGGTATGAGGGGACTCGTGCATGCCGTCCGTTAAAAAGTTGATTGATGAACGGGAAATGTTGCGCATGTTGGTGTTATCGGCCCGAAGGCGTTCTCCGATCGTGGCCCAGATGGTGTTGGTAGCCGAGATGGGATTAACGTCTTCAGCATGCGGAAACTCTTGCTGAGAAAAGCTTTGGTCTTGTGCGACGACATAAGCGTGGCGATCGGCGTGTTGAAGCGACCAGGACTTTGTGAGAACTTTGTGGACCATTTCAACGGAGACCGCAGAGTAGAGAGAGAGAAGGAGAGTAGAGAGATAAGGAGAGTGTAGAGAGAGAGAGAGAGAGAGAGATAACAAGGCAAAGAATACAGACACAGAACACGACAGGACAGGGAAAGACAATTCTGGGGCTCTTATTTATGCAAAATCGGGTGATTCCAAGACAATTGCCCCATGCGGAAGACCGAGCGGCATGCACCCTACATTGTACATGACGAACGTGATAATCATTCCAAGACAATTCGCTCATGGGGGAAGACCCCAGCGGCATGCAGTCACATTGTGGATGACGAACGTGGTAATCATTCCAAGAAAATTGCCCCATGCGGAAGACCTGAGCGGCATGCACCCTACATTGTACTGACGAATGTGGCAATCATTGCAAAATAGTTGCCGTTGCAAAAGACCTTAACGGCATGCACTCTGCATTGTACATGACGAACGTGATAATCACTCCAAAACACTTGCCGTTGCAAAAGCCCTGAACGGCAGGCATTGCACGTTGCACATCTCGAGCATGTTAATCATTCTTTCACAACTTGTGAAAGCCCTGGATGACATGCGATGCGCAATGGGGCTTTCAAAAACGTCATGAGAGAACCATTCTACATGGTGCATCGAAAAATGAACGTAATAATCGCAAAACACTGGTACCTTGCGGACGATATGCCAGGGCGCGTGGCGAACAGACTTTGTGGTGGAGGCATTAGATAATGTGGCTTTGCTAAGATCGTAGCCTCGATCATTAGGCACGTGACGAAAGGTGAATGGTTTGAACTAGTGTATTGTGGTTGCAATCATTCAACTATGAGAGTAGGGCCTATCTTGACTTTTATGCTCGCCTCACCCACTAGGCCACTAGAGCGTTTGAACACTGCGTCGCCTCACCCACTAGGCCTCTAGAGCCTTTTCTCCACTAGGCCACTAGAGCATTTGAACACTGCGTCCGCCTCACCCACTAGGCCTCTAGAGCCTTTTCTCCACTAGGCCACTAGAGCATTTGAACACTGCGTCCGCCTCACCCACTAGGCTACTGGCAAACAGTGTGTAGTATATTATAGTTGTTTGTCACCTACGGCTTTCAGATTTGGTACCAATGAACGCTCATCCTTGTATCTTATGTCCAAATGCATTATGGGTTCATTACGGATCGAGTAAGAGTTGCATCGATATATCCACCGTTCACGCATTGCACCAGTATGAAGTGGTCTATTAAAGTTGCAATCCATTGAACGCTATGTCTGCCTCACCCACTAGGCCGCTGCAATGTTCCTGCTATGCTTGAACCCTTGAATAGGTTGATAAGAGTAGTACACCTGCACTTGGTATTGCTGCTCAACAGTCATGTCATTTAATGATCGAGACTAACTTGACAAGCAACATTATCTAATGTTCGCACACGCAAGCGCTAACTGAACCCTAAAACCCTAACCCTAACCCGAACACTAAAACCCGAACGCGATCTCGAACGCTAACTCGAACGCTAACCTGAACCCTAGAACCCGATCACTGTGTCTGTTTGCCAAGGGGGCCATCGCATATCGGCCGCAAGGTACCATTGCTTTGCAATTATTACCGCGCTCGTTATATGCAATGTGGAATGCATGTCGCCCGACGTTTTTTGGAAAGGCCCCACAAATATTACCAGCTTTGCAATGTGCAATAAACAATGTGCGATGTGGCATGCGGAATATGCAATGTGCGCTGTAGAGTATGGAATGCAAAGGTGGAGGGAGTGCATTGCAATGGACATCAACACCACTGCATTTGCCACCAGTGCGCATCGCATGTCATCCAGGTCTTCCCCAACGTACCATAGCTTTGGAATGATCATCACATTCGTCATGTAAAATGTGGAATGCATGTCGTTCAGGTCTTTTGCAGCGGCAAGTGTCATGGAATGATTACCATGTTTGTCCATGTCGATAATCTCCCACAAACATGTATTCGTGTGAATGTTTTGAAGAGTCAGAGTCTGCGATAAACACTTGACGTGCGGTGTGGGCTTGTACCAGTATACCTCATGACGTTTTTCACACAGCTCCAAGGTCTTGGCATGTCACATTCGTCAATGTCAATGTCTATCGCAGGGCTTTTGCAAGGGACAATCGCTTTGGAATGCTTACCCGCTTTTGCATAAATAAAAGCCAAAATCCTCTTTCCATTCCCCTACTGTCCTGTCGCTTTCTCTCCATTCTCATTCCTGCAAGACTCTATCCATTTTCTTATATTCTCTCGCTCGCATTTTTCAATGGGCAGGGACTTACATACAAAAGTCCTGGTCCCTCCAACACGCCGATCGCCATGCATTTGTCATGGCACAAGACCAAAGTTTTTCTCAGCAAGAGTTTCCGCATGCTGAAGACGTTAATCCCATCTCGGCTACCAACACCATCTGGGCCACGATCGGAGAACGCCTTCGGGCTGACAACACCGACATGCGAAACATTTCCCGTTCGTCAATCAACTTTTTAACGGACGTCATTCACGAGTCGCACTGACACCGTGGACTGCGTCTTGGCTCTACTCCATTACCATATGGAAGTGAGAGATGCCAGGATGATGTCCGTCTTGGGTCTCCGCAAGTCAACGGACAAAGACGCCATCGATCACAGTTATACTCTTTTGTCTGTCTGATACTACTACGGTCGACTACACCTTTGCGCGCACGGTCAGATTTCCTACGGGTTTTGCTTGCCATATTGATGCTTTTACCTTAGACGTTAAGAATAGTCAGGGTTAGGGTTAGGGTTACGACATCGTGGTTGGCCGTGGTCAAGCTTGACTATGCGTTTGTGGGATTCAATTGCAAAAGCTTGAGATGTCTGTGGGCGATAATCCAGGTTATACAATAGATCATCTTCCACTACATGTACAAGTAGGCGATCCCCATACTAAACGTACTCCAACGCTTTAAATCATGAAAATAGGTGCCGGCTGCAAGTATGCTAGTGAACCAGTTTATTTGCGAAATTTATCATTCCTCCGTTTTATTCTTGAAATGGTTAGTGATTTACTAGCTCTAGCCTTTCCATTGGTGAGAATAAAAAGGTTATTACAGCTTTCCTACTTGTACTTGTGAAAAAGGGACAAACTTGGCGCGTTCGCCAAGTGGACCGTGGGCATCAAGCCGAATCCACCAAACTATTCTTACAGTCTCGGCTGTTCAGATGGTACAGCCAATGATACAGATTGAACTTCAAAGGACCCTCACTAGCTTTTATGATCATGCCCCATGCATATGCCAACGCTTCTTTGATTTTTATTATTCGCTAGCTTTTACGATCATGTCTCAGAGTTATTCCTCTTCCCGTTCCCAGTGTCACTATGTCGAGCGGGGCCGGTGCACTGACTGTGGAGTGTCGGTTAGGCCGATCTGACGTGAGCGGATTTGGACCGAATGCGAACGCTCCTCGCTCGGCACACCTTGCTCTGCTGCTCGAAAGATCGATTGAGGAGATAGTCACAGCTGTTGAGGGCTGACCAGCTCTTGGAGCCCATGTAATGAACAATCGGGCTTCTCGCAAACATCTCCGAACCTTGAAAAGGCTGCGCCCAAAGTCTGTCGACCTAACAGCATCTCTTCAAGGACGCTCTTACCTTTAACTCTGTCCCAATATTGGTCGAGATGCCCTTTTTAGACTGCAATAGGCCATCGTACGTTACACGTGGTAATCATCAAAACTAGTGCCAATAGATTGCTAGCGCTAGCTGCTCTAGGCGTAAATCTCTAGTGGGTATGGGGCGCTAGTTGGATAGTGGTTGAATGAATGCTGTAGGGGTGTGGCTGCCATTGGGGGCATACAGTTAAACGGTCTAATGGGACAGAAGCGCTAGGTGAATAGTGGTCAAAAAAAGGTAGTTGGCGTTAAGCAATTGTAGATTTCAGTTGCTGATGGTGAAAAGGGTACTTGCTGCATTACGGTTGCCATTACCTCAATCATCGTCTTCTAAAGAACATCACCGTCTTCATCGCCGTGGGCCGTGAATGATTGCAAAGTCGAAAAAGTGAATCCCGCCTGAAAAGTGAGAAAAAAGAAGCCCCCGCCGTGGGAAATGTCGATAATTAGTTCTGCCAAGAATGTAAAATGAAAAAAAAGAAATCGTTGCCGTTGATGTATGGCCGCCTTACCTCTAATGCCACCGAGAAAAACAATTCGACAAATCAAGGCAAGAAGAAATCCCACAGAGCCAGATTGCTGATGGTTCGTCTCCATCGTGTTCCCATTCACCACACTCCAGCCTGGTTTTTCTAACCATAAAGTTGCTGTTCTTTAGTTTGCTTATAGGTGGTAGCAATAACTCTTGATCCTTTCGTTCCAACGTCCCATTTACCTTCTCCTTTCCCTTCCAAACTCCTTTGTTCTGACGACGCGGTTCTTGCGATTGCACTGGCATCCTCCCAGCACTTGAGCGATATCTTATTAGTGGAGGTCTAGGTGGAGGTTTTTGGCCCACGCTAGCTATCTACAGTTTTGTTATTTTACTGTGCTTTGATTGAAACTATGCCGTGAAATGGGTCCCTTCACCACGCTGCCTGGCGAGGTCATCTTATTAGCGGGTTGAGGTTTTCACTTATCGATGGTTCGGTGAGTTGTTGACCAATCCATTCAGGTTTCCACTTAGTGATGGTGCTTTAGGTTGCGAGATGCCCTTTACTGCTGGGCTACATTCACGCTACACTGGTGAAGACTGCAAGTAATCACCTCGGCTGGAATCCTGGATAATCTTCTCATACAGCTTTTCAATTAGCGATGGTGTTTCGGATTTAAAAAATGCTAACAGTTTATAATCTGCGTTTGATGAAAGTGAAAGTAGAAATCTGCAAATCACATCCGTTCTAGTGGACATAGTGGTAAACATGTGAGTGGGTGTAAAATTAAATGCTCTAGTGAGCAAAAGATCAATTGCTCGAGTGGTGGTAGGGTTACAAGCTCTGATGGACTAGTGGACATAGTAAATGCGCTGGTGGACATTGGGCTGAGCTCTCTGGTAGCCTAAGGGCCGTAGAGTTAAAAGCTCTGGGATACTAGGTGACCGTAGGATTACTAACTCTAGAAGTTTAATGGTTGTAGGATCGAACACTAGAACCCCACACTAGTGGTCTAAAGCTAGTCTGTTTACATCTTTGTTTACAGACATAGCAGAAACATTGCCAGCGCGTGCATTAACCAGGTAAGTATACTTATTATCGTCACAATTGTAAGGATTGCAACTACCGCTGCTATGCTTGAACGCTGAATAGGCTCAATACGACTAGTACAAACTTCCCAGTCCTGTTTGCCACGCATGCCACCCAGGACTTACAGCGGCAATCGTTTTGAAGTGAGTTATTACATTCAACATTTACAATGTGACATGTATAGACCTCATGACGTTTTTTATTTTTGAAACCCGCAGCAATTCTTGCGCATCGGCAATTATTTTCGAGATGATTCCCACGTTGTTTATGTACAATGTGAATGCATATTGCAGGGCTTTCGCAAAGACAAATGTCTTTGGAACGATGACCCGCGTTTGCATAAGTAAGAGCTCTCTGCTTTCCCTGTCCTGTCCTGCACAGCTCTCTCCATTCTCACTCCTGCACAACTCTATCCATTTTCTTACTCGCTCGCATCTTTGAATTGGTCCGTCAAGCCCTCACCAAGCCCTGATCCCTGCAACATGCCCATCGGCACGCCGATCCTGAAGATGAGATGCTGCGCATATTGACATTGTTCGCGTGGAGGCGTTCTCGGATGGTTGCCCAAACGATGTTGCTGCACGAACGTTTCTCTCAGCAAGAGTTTCATCACATTGCAGAAAACAACATTACCCGATTTCGGCCAGCAACGCTTAGGGTTGATTTCCGTAGCATGAGTAAACTCTTGCTGCGAGAAGCTTTCATCCAGTAGTACCGTTTGGATGGCAACCATCGGAGAACGTCTTCACGGAAACAATGTCGATATGCGTTAGGATGGCGCGGCGCGTTCAGCCACAGGCAGGCATGCGGGAGAGGCCAGGACTTGGTAAGGGCTTGACGGACCATTCCAAAGGTGCGAATGAGAGATCATAAGAAAATGGATACAGTTGTCCAAAAGTGAGAATGGAGAGAAAGCGACAGGACAGGACACGAAGGAAAAGCGGATTCTGGAGCTCTTATTTATGCCAAAACGATTGTCCCTTGCGAAAGCCCTGCGATGCAATGACATTGACGGATATGACATGCCAAGACTTTGGGGGTTTTCCGAAAAACCTCAGGAAATATATACATTCCACACGTCAAGCAGGCATCGCAGACTCTGACCCTTCAAACATTTAAACGAATTCAAGTTTGTGACGATCATTGTAAATGACGAACATGGTAATTATTCATGACACTTGTCGCTGAGAAAGACCTTAGACCCCTTTCGTAAAACGACATGAGGGACACATATCCACATTGTACAGGACGAATGTGGTAAAACGATTGGGAAGACCTGGATGTGATGCGTGGCGGTAGAGGTATTAGATAATGTGGCTTGTAAGGTTGCAGTGTAGTTTCGATCACCACATCACACCACCGTTGAAGCAAATGGCAAGGCGTGACCGAATGCGGGCTGAAAGTTATGACGCAGCTGATAAAAACTAAAGTTTATGTATGTACTCGATATGCCAATAAACATAGTAAATGTCCTGTCATAAACAAACTATTCCATAAGTCTTGTGGCCTTAATTTATCTGATGGTATCCCGCAATCTATTTGACTTTGTGGGGATAGCTTATGGGGTAATGCGTTCGTTCTCAGCGGCCTGAGTTGGGGAAAGGCACTGAGTTCGATCTCCACATTGCGCGGAAATGCAGAGCTTTGTGACAGTTTTGTAACGTTATGAAGTTATCAGTCATGACCGCGACACAAGAAGCAGCCAGTATCCACGGGGTGGGCTGGACTTCTGTGTGCCCCCCAGCGGCTCTTACCATGAGCGTAATCCGCTGGTCACATTTTGCTAAATGCCTGCTAGGTTAGATGAATTCTGGAGGACTCTGTCGTTCGAGTCAAATCATATCATCAACTACTACTAATCCATAACCTTGCCAATTGCTCTAACTAGTTGCACGAGCACAGCTCAGGTAAAATAAAGAGCATTCTGTATTCCAGAGGAGTGAGCATGGGCCATAGATGACATTGGTGTACGCATATTTGGTAGTTCCAACTTGTTGCAACCAGAGAGATTGGGTTGTGTTGCGCAGCGCATCATGTCAGGGTAGACTGACCTTCATCGGGAGATTGCAAGTTGTGCTTACATGGCCGTAAGTTCTCTATCGGTCAGAAATTGCAGCTTGCAATAACACGTATGCTTTGCAATATGTACTTTGGGAAGGTGCTCTGAACATGAACACCGGCAAGAGTAGGCATTCATTTTTGGTCGCTGTCACCGACGCCGCCTCTCTTAGGCGTCTTGAAAGTCTCCAAGCTTTTCTTGATAAAGTTTCAATTTGGCAAGCAGACCCAAGGAGTGAGATGCGGAAGCTGGGTAGCAAGAAGATGCATTTGTGCATTGTGGGTGGTATAATGAAATTGTCCTGGCCATGCGGCCGAATTCTACAGCAACACCCAGACAAAGTTTTTCATTGGGACAGTAGCCATGCGCTGGCAGGCTCAACCTTGCAATGCGCATAAAGGCGCAAGAAATAGCAGCAACCGTCACAAATAACAAATGTATGAGGGTGGTGTTTTGATTATTTGACTTAAACCCTTCGTGCAGGTCTAGTTACAGATATAAGAGCTGAGATATTTACTCAGCCGGATCGATGCGACGAACGTAAACACCTAATAGTTCTAAACCCCTCTGTGCCTCCGCTTTGTCGATTGGTTCGAATTCTTCCTTGTCCAGCACTTTATATAGCTTCTGCACGACCTCGAGGGTCACATCATTTGGTTCCTCTTTCGTCGCTTTATCCTCACCCTCCTGTCCGACTCCCATGTCCAGTCGAACACCACGCTCCTCGAAAGCCTTAAAAAGATCTTCGCCTCGCAAGGATCTTGCACCAAAGACATCACTGAGAATCGCTTTTAGCCGTTCCCTGTTTAATTCTGCACCGGCTTCCACATCAGGTTCGTCAGGGTCACTGCAATCAAAATTTCGTCGTCGATTCGCGTGTGCCTTGATGCGGGCATCGCGTTCTTTGCGGGTCAAGTCTGGGAGGTTGGACGACCATCCAGGTAATCGGACAACAACACATGTTTTGTTGTCGGATGACCCTAGGGACTCTGAAAATTGAATCACTGCTGAAGCGGCTTTGGGGGGATTGTCACTCTTCTTGATCAGATCAACAATCTCTTGATCTCGCGAAACACCAGAAATGCCATCCGTAACAAGACATAGAAATGCCGCTTGATCATCGTCCTGAATGCGTCTTCTTTGCACCTGAGGTTCAACGGTCACGCCTCCATATCGTTTATATTTGAGATCCCCAAAACAACGAGAAACTGCTAGTCCGCCTAGAACGAGCTCTGAATGAGGTGCATCAGGGACGTGCGTCGTAAACCCGCCCAACGACTCGATCCTTGCGCGCTCATCCGGTTCTGACGGATGGTGGTTCACAGTCAATGCTTCTGCTACACCTTGTGAACCTGTGCAAAGAAGGATTCTATTAAATCCATCATTAGCTTGTAAGCCAGTCAAAGCAATCAGATTTGCAATTTCATACGCACCGCGAGTCCCCAACATGCCCTACAACAACATCCAAGGTGGATGGTCCACCAAGTTCAATGATTTTCACAACAACAACTGAGGCGGTTGACCCAACCGTATCCACATCGCGATTGCTCTGAAAGAAATCGACCTCTGCCTTCAGGAATGACAGATACATGCGTTGCTCCAGTGTCAAAGGATCGGACCAATCTTCTGCGGGCCGAGATATGGGCCGTTCGAAATATTTGCTCAATGCTGTGAGGGTAGGGCTCAAGTCCTTACTCCTCACGCTCTCAAAGTATCGATGAAGATGTTGATGGATGTGTGACGAACAGGAAGTCCCGCCATGCCTACCAAATCAGGAGAGTTCAGCTGTTAAAGAACGCCATAGACCAGAAACTGTTACATGAATTTCCTTACAGTAAGCCCCACAAGCTCACCCATCAAAAACAGCGAACCAGTAGAGGTCCGTCCCGCTTTCATCGTCGTCCGGTAGGTTGACCCGCAACACTTCACATGTTGCCCGATCCTAACCGAAGACGTTCAGTGGGATGAACAACGAAAGATAATTCATTTCGGTAACCAACCTCATTCGTCTCCCGGTCCCCTCTCACCGATACAACACCCACCGTTCCCGGCGACTCATTTACATGAATTCTGAATGGTGGGCCTTGAACATGGTGAGGCGCCTTCTTCGTCAAATCCCGACTAAAATTCGTAGAGAAGCGGTGATAGGGACTGTGACTATGGGGGAGAGACGGTAAACGTCTTAAAAGCAGGGTGGCAAAGCGGAAATGAAAACGTCCCAACATGAGGATGCCGGCAGAGGCTGAGGACAAAGTGCAGCAAGTTCAGAAAGCGGTGGGTCGCGTCACACGCGTCGTCGTCCACAAAGAACTTTCAACCAAACTAAACGCTGAGATCTCGCCGCTGCATTGCAACCATGGCAAGTTCACGGGGAAACCTTAGCAGTACAAGATTGATGACTGCATGCACTGACATACTTTGTAGAGCTTCGACTGGTCCTCGCCCACTCTGGTTGCCTTCTCTCCACCGGTTCCCCCAATAACATTTCCCTTGCTCGCGACAGTTCTCCTACTAGCAGCCTTTGCATTCGGTTCACTCTTTCTCATGTAAGTCCCTATCAGCGTTAAGAATGGCTTGTTTCATACTCACTGAGCCGGGTCCTGTAGTAATCAGGTGAATGCGACAAAGTTCTCGCGGAATCCAGTTCAGGAAGTTGCGCTCGCTCTGCCGGCATCAGTGCTATTTGGTACAGTGTGTGCACTATTTAAAATGACTGGGACGTTTTTAACAATGCTCTTTTAAGGATTTGGTCTGGTGTTTTTGTTCCTTGCGGTTGGCATATACGTGTAGAAATATAACGTGGAGTGGGTAACTTGGGCAGCTTTGGACCTTCTTTCATATTTTCCAATTTGGGCTATTTGGTTATGAGAAATCTGTTCTGGGGAGTATCAATAGCTTTGAGACAACCTTCCAGCAATGTTCTGAAAGGTCACTGAAAAGAAGAAAGGTGTTCTTGGATGGACAGGAGGGTCGGCTACGCCGGCTTACTAGCCGGTCGTCCATTCCCGTCGACCGTGCGTGGAATAGCATTAAGCAAAGCAGCACACAGTTGAACAAAGGTGAGTTCATTTTGTCGGAACTATCCCGACAAAGTGTAGATGCAGGCAAACAACTCTGTTGAACACATCATCTAGGCCTTGCAGAACTCCAGTGTACTGCCAGCTAATGAGCAGGTTAAAGCGCTCGTTTAACTTGACTTCCTGTCAGCCATCATATCTTGCCATCGGGACTTATTTGCCACATGCTTTCTCTTACTTTTAATTGGCATCCCATCCAACCAGAACGTGCTGCCAAAGGGATTCCTATCCGAAGTTCTTGATCATTGGATTCGATTAGAGCACGTGCGCGTCTTTGAGGTTCTTGCTGTGAAGCTGTCCATCTCCGCGACTGACCGGATCTCATCTTCAAGACTTTCAGCCATGGGCTTCGAGATCGCTACCAGCATCCTCATCAATGCGTCCCCGGCGCGCGTCCATGAAATCCTCTGCGACTTTGCCAAGTATCCGGATTGGAACCCAGTTAGTTGCATCCACGACATTTCACCTTGTTCAAAAGCTCACCATCGCTTTGTTCCCAGTTTTTCAAATCCATTACAGGGTCGGCAGATTGGGCTCCACATGAGGGCCAAAGGATCCTCCTATGGAAGACGGCATTGCTTGGGTATTGTACGTATCGCCGCGATTGATGGGTCTCCCTATGTTCACTGACTGATCTACCACCACTTTTATCACGTATGGCCATCTAGCCTTCCCTCTTCCAGCGACTGTCACACGCGTCACTCCCTTGAGTACTCCTCCACGCGCTAACCAGCGCTACGAACTTCGATGGGGTGGCGGAATGTCCATACTGCTAAATATTGCCGAAGCGGACCACTACTTCATTTGTGAGCCCGTACCTGGGCAACCAAACAAAACCAACTTCAAGCATGGGGAAATATTTGGCGGCATGACTAGCTACGCAATAAATCCAGTTAAGGATCTCATATTGAAAGGGGAATACGAGCGCTTCAACCAAGCCTTGAAGGTGCGGGCGGAAACTTGGAGAGAATAGATTATCATAGGTCTACACATTTTTATATAGTGTCCCACTCGATAGTAGCATAATGATACAGTAACCCTTAGTTCAACAATGGTATAGCACATCCATAGAAAAAAATGCAGCGGGCGTAACGTGAGGCTTGTCGCGTGAATGTAATTGATATCAACCAAAACAAAACAATTATAATACAGGTACATCAACAATGCCGCTAAAAAGCAGCCGTTCCATCTTCTTAATTACCTCCAAGAAGCTCCCTAATTCTCCGCTCAATCTCTCTCACCAACCGGTCTTCCCTAGTGTACACTCCACTCGCAACCAGTGAATCTCGTTCTCTTGCAAGGCGTTCAACTTCTACCAATATTTGCGGATCATAATTCTCTTGGTCGATCGGTTCAACAACTTTTTGTGGTTGATGGGCACCAGGGCTTGCCCCTTTGGATGCAGTACTGGCTCGCAACTTTAGTTCCTCCAAATCACGCTTAATCGTTTCCAGCACGTCCGGTGGGGTTTTCCCGGACATTTCATGCTTTAGACGCTCCAGTTCGGCACGTTCACGTTCTAATCGGTTCGCGAGTTCCGTTTGCCAGTCTTTCTTGCATTTGGCAAGCTCTTTGAGTGATTTTACCCATTGCTGTTTGTAGTACTTTTTAGCCCGTTTCTCTCCATCGACCTTCGCATTCAGGCCAGTAATGGTGCGCTCAAGCTCGTTCAACTTCTCTTGAAGGCGCGCTTCTGGTGTTGACGCCGCTTGAGAGCGAATTTCAGCTAGTTGCTGTTGAAGGGTGCTCACTTGAAACGCGAAGGCTTCCCGTTCTTTCGTTGTTTGATCGCGCTGTCGTTCTGCTTCTGCGACCCGCCCTTTTTCAACCTGCAGACGATGTTTGTATTCTTCATGAAGTCTTCGAGCACTGTCGCGAGCTTCGTCGACAACACGCCGAGCATCCCGCTCCACTTCATCCTTCTTTCTGGCAAAATCGAGCTCCGATTCACGCAATTTACGTTCGCGGGTTTCAAGCTCGGTAGCAAGGTCCTGGATCTTGTGCTCGAGAGATTTAAATTCCTCTACTTTTTTCTTTAAAATTGCCTCACGTTCGCGCTCGCGTGTCTTCCATTCCGCTGCAAGTTGCTCTAGTACTTCTGTCTCTCGCAAACGTAGATGCGCTCGAAACTTTCGCTCTTCTTCCGCTCGCCATAGCTCGAGTTCTAGTGCAACTTTATATTCTGGTGTCGCGTGGAGGGGTGTTGAGTTGGGTGTTGACGCGACGCTCGCACTTGCTGCACTTGGAGGTGCGCGGGGTTGACGCTGATGCGGATACGGGTTTTTAGAATATGCAGCATCAGTCGTCGGGGGCTTGCCAAGTATTCCGGGCGTTATATGTACTTGAGCTTGATACTGCTTTGAATTTACAGGGTACGTTGTTTCGGCCGTGGTCCGTTTGTCATACATTCCAGAGTGTCCACGCACGTGCTGCCAATGAGGATTAACGTCTTCAGTGTGCGTGGCATCTGCAGGTTTGGGGTCACCCAAGGCTTCGATGGCACGTTCCTCACGCCGAGTTCTGTCATCTACTCTGCTTCCTTCATTGGAGACGTCCTCAACCGTTTCAAAATTCATGATTGACATATGGCCGTCTCCTAAACCAGAGAGAGCATCCATTGGTGTAGGGGCAGGGACTGGGGCCGGTGCAGATCTTTGGTTAAAGCTAATCCCCTGATCATCTTCGTCCATTTCTTCATCCATCTGTAATTTGCTCAATTCACCCTCCAGATCCCCTTCCATTTCGCTTTCCTTCGTTATAGACATTGCGAGACCAATACTAGGAGTCTTGCCATCTGAGGACATTGGAAGTTCCTGCTTCATACTGTACAGATTATACATTTTCTCCACAACCTGGAAGTTCGGTCCCCGGTCATCCAATAATTCCTTGACTGAAACGTCCGCGAACCCCAAGACTATGTCTCCGCAGCAAAAATAAATTATCAGGTTTGACAGTTCCTCTATAAATCGTCTAATATCCTCTCCTGACCCACGCAATCGGATGGACACTCGCTCAGCGGCAAAATTTGGATCTGTGAGTTCATTGAACTTCTCAGTTGTGATGTCGTTGCTCAGAAAGGGAAAATAAAAGTGAAATGTGGAGTCCAAAGAAGTCAGAGAATGGTCACGCAGGAGCTCCAAGTTCTCGGCAAACGCGATGGTGATCCACATGACCCACAAGGTATCTCCAGAGCCAACTTGATAAAACCCCGCATCTGTTAGCTCCACCGAGAGACTGAATCTAGGCGTCACCGTAGGGAGGCCACGCAATGTAAGCGCATTACCGCTTGGTAAACGCTCTCGGCCCGGTTTCCCATCTCGCAATTTTTTCTGCTGCTCTTTGTTCGACTCTCTCCCACGGCGCCCTCTTGCCAGAAACTCTTCAACTTCTTCCTTTCCTTCCACCTTGGGAACCACCGCAAAGAGTACTTTGATCTCAGGCCTGAATGCGGTACCATATTTCGCATTAACCAAAGGACACCATCGCTCTTCCAATTCACCGGGGGCACCACGCAAGTCCAGCATGATGTATCCAATCATATCCCTTTTATTGAGCTCATCAACGGAGTAGACAATGAGCTTGAGTGACACTCGTTGTGATCGAAAAAACCCAAGAACTTTTGTATCAATATCCCACGCCAGTTCTGTATCGAAGATTGGGACAGGGGTGTGATCTACTGGGTCGGTGGTCAGGATCTCATTGTTGAAGCGACATTGAATATACAGTTTGGAATTGGATTTTCGAAAGAAATGGCGACCTGTTTCAGATGAGATACCGTGTCAAGAAGGTGATTGCAACGCAGCGAGAAAGAACGCTTTACCATCCAACACCGTCACCAAGACGGTATGTTGCGATGGCCGAGCCATTTCGCAAGATTTCAGATAGGTTATTGAGCACTTTCACTCAACGTCAGCACGCTGATCGTGCACGGTTGAAGGTAGCGACAATGCGATCTTGGAAGCCATGAGCACAGTGATGTTGTAGGACGCGCTGGAAGTGAACCGCGTCTCATTTGTCTGTGGCGCATTATGGCGCAGAAGTGTTCAATTTAACTGCGACCCCAACCCCAACTGGTTCCTGACCCTATTTTTAAGGAGATTTGCACGGAGATAAAAATAAAGCATAGAAAAAAGCTAAATAAAGAATGCAAAAAAAAAACACGAGGAGACAACAGTGGCAAGAAGGGAGGTGGGAGCGACATGGATAAAAATGAACCCTTTCGGTGCATCAATTACTTCATGATCCGCGTTGGAGAACGAGTTCCATTGGTTATCCTGGCTGGCTGTCCGCGAATGCCAATGTTCTTGAGGTGCGACTTGGCAAAAAGGACTGCGTACCTACGGCTCAGAGTGGATCTTACTCTATATTGCCGTCAATATGTGGGTGGCTGTTCCATGACGAACAGTTAACTCCGACCTGTGGGATGCAAAACAAATAAATGGGCGTTTTTCTTTCGTCAGATTTTGTTGACCTGAATGGAACGGACCCCGGTTATGTTGTATGGAATTGATGCAATCAATACAGAATGTTTTGATGAATGGGTGCCATAGACAACGTACCACTGTATCCTTCAGGGTCCTGTTTACCTCCTCCATGATGTCTCCAATGATATTTTACCAAGCGAACTTACATTTCGGCCAAATATGAAAAATATGCTAAAAACGAAGACCCGGAAGACTGAACCTTAATATCACACTGTGTTTCCATCATGAGCGAACCATCAACTGAGCCCCAACCAGAGGACGAAACAGGAGACATGTCAGATTTCAGCGATACGGACGCACTGTTAGCAGATGCCTCAAAGTATGGGGTAAGTAGCGTCACCACAGTAGGCAGGACGACCCATTAAACTTGGTGACACTTAATTTTATATGCAGACGGCCCTTTCGATAAGCTTGTGTACGCTGGCCATTGTAACGTTCGTACTCATTCGAAGGTACCAACCAAAGCTGGTAAGCAGAGAATAATATGATGACTTTCAGCCAGCCCAAAGCATCATTTAATAACCAGAGGCGCAGGCAAATCGTGTGTCCCTTCGTTTAGCGATGGCGGGGACAATTTGTGACATTCTATACGCCATCAGCGTTCTGCTGTCTGCCTTACCTACTGGTCCATCCGCCCTGTGCACTAGTTCCATGTACCTGCAAATCGTCTTTCTCCTTCTGTCCCTTTTCATTACAGCCGCAATTGGTTTGAATGTTTTTCTGATATTTATCCTTCACATCCGATCTGTCAAGTATCTGGAACGCTTGTATTACGGTGCTGGAGCTGTACTCGCCATTATCATACCGCTGCCTGCCCTTCTTACGGGTCGCTTGGGGTGGGACGGGACTGAGTGTTGGTACGCTAACGATCAAAGCGAGGAAGACGTTCGAATTACCTTCTACTGGCAATGGTTAGTTACCCCTACCGGCATCTGAAAGTGCTGCCAGTCGCTAACTGCACATGCTGCTTTTCAGTGCCACATACTACTCATGGGTTATCCTCGCTGTTGGATTTTGTGCTCTTTGCACCATCCTATTCTGGATAACCACCCGCAAACCACCAAACGATGCGATTCCACAGTCCGAGATTGACCAACGCGAGAGTGGAACGTTCCGTGAGACAGAGCGCCTTTTGCGCATGGCCGTAAATCGTATCAAATGGTACTGCGCAGTACCTCTTATAGCCCAGATTTTCTCTTTGGCTGCGGATATCCAATACTACATTTACGACTCAACACCGCTAGGGCTTTGGTGGATGGCTAATTTCATGTCTGGTTTTCATGTGGGTTTCATTTGATGCTGTCTCGAATTAATACGTATGTTAATTGCCAATACATGACAGGGTGCCTTGAACACTATTGTATTCTTCGGCTTTGATCCATCCGTCAGGCACGCTGGGGATAAACTACGGGCTTACCTTGTCTATCATTATTACCTCCGGTTGCACACAGTCGATACTTTCCGCTCAACATCAGTGCACTCTGTGCAATCCCGTAGCCCACTTACCGAAGTTCCATCCGTCGCTCTCTCGAGCGAGGCTTCAACACCGCGCCTAGATAAAGGGTCTATGTGGTCCTCGCAACGTCTCAACCGACCCGCCGCAAGCGCTGCAAGTTCTCCAGTGGACGAATTGCCTTTAAAAGACAGCACCGAACTCAAGCTACGTTCCCAACCTTCCAATAAACTAGCTTTCCATTTTGTGCGCATCTTCCTCTTAAAGGACGCAGACAAAGCCAAATTTATCAAGCAGAAACGCAACCAGATGCAGAAGCGCGAAGGTGCGGTTATATCAAGAGCCAACACCGTCCAGAAGTTGGATCATTACGGATCGGAAGCTCCATCTGATTCTGGTACGGGGGTAGTTAAGGCGATGATGGATTCCATTAATGCAGCTCACGAAAGACAACCGGAGGCTATAGAACTTCTCTAGCAATATTTTTCACCGATGTATACCCGGCTTTCGTTCCCGTTCTGATTTGTTGGTTTATCATATTTCTAAGACTAGTTTGTGTAATGTTGTTGGAGCTTTTTTTGCGATATCTCGTTTTCATGATATAATTTAGTTTTTCAATCACTTCTGATATTCGCCTGTTCATGGATCGGGCATCGAAGCATTGAACAGTTTGCAAAACTGTCTCAACAATGAGCAGATATGGATATTTTACTGCTCTAGCTACATTATGCTATGAGGTATACATTGTCAAGACTGGAATAAGCAAAAAATGTCGCTCAGCAAGTACACTGCTCTGGGTGGTAACTATTTAAATCTTGATCGGGTTGTCTAGGACAAACTTGGTCCACCAGGTGATCGACCCCCAAATCTCTTCACCGGTGGGAATAATCTCGCTAGGGGGAAGAATGAAACCTTGGTCGCTGGATCCAGTCGGCCTCAGTTCAATTGTGTACGAATAGATCCGGCGATTTCCAAGGGCCTTGGTGACGGTCTCGCCATACCACCAGTCAGTGGCACTACCGGTCGTCTGATACAAGTCATAAGCAGTCTGGGAGGTATATTGCTTGCCGTGGATAGCGCGGATACGGTCACGGACACCATCACCAGCTTTCTTGAGAAGCGCCTCATCGGGGGCACGGGAACTCGTAAATCCGTATGGGCGAAGAACCAGCTGGCTAAAACTGTGGAAGTCAATTGCGCCAACAAGATTCTTGTTTTCAGGTGCGAGAAAGTATTTCGAAAGTGCTTTCACTTCCAGCTCCGATCCAGCAGACGGACCACGGTAGGTGATCGAAGACGGAGAAGCTGAGGATCCTCCCTGGCCCCAGTGGTCGGGCCAGTTACGGTTCTTGAAGAGAATTGAAGAATGAATATACAGAAAATCAGAATTTCCACCCTTTTAATGCTAGCCTCACCAGATCTACACCAAAAGACCCATCCGAGTTCTTGCTACGGTTCTTACGCCACAAGCGTCCACCTGTCCACTAGATAATACCTTGGATCGTTAGATCATTCCCATTCTGCATGTATTTTCGCGCAGGTACTCACAGTGTATTCATATCCATCTGGGTTTACGACTGGGATGATAATGAATTCCGCCCGATCCAGTAAAGTCTTGTCCTGGGCGTACTCGGCCACAAGCCGGTCAGACACGTACTGGACAGTCGATCCACCAATCCACTCTCGGGCGTGCTGCAAACCTTGGAACCAAATCTGCTGTTTGGAGCCGCCAGTCTTGCTGGTGATCCTTACAGCAAAGATGTCGCGGCCCTCAACGGTTTTTCCGATGGAAGGAACGAACGTGACAAGACTTGGGTTCTGCTGGGCAAGTGTTTGATACCAAGTCTTGATGTCCGCATATCGGTGGTAGTCAGCAAACCAGTTCTGTAGAGTTCAACAACAAATAAGGATCTAATATCGGGGAGTAGAGTGACTAGTCACTATTAATTACCGCAGCTTGCACACTGGGGCTGTTCAATCGTTGCGTCTCCTCGTCAACAATCTTCTGAAGATTGTTGTCCAGGACAGTCACTGTAAGCGCACTGCCGGCGACATCACTCAAGGGCTTGGAGGTAAGAATGTCGTCGGCCCCTGGAGGAATACGGACATCGATGTGGTCGCTCTGAGTATCCCAAATGTCAAGGCCAAGTTCTTCGTCGAGGAAGCGGTGCACATTAGCCAACACATTGTTTGGGACCCCCAAGCGGACGAGCTTATGGTTGTCGTAACGAGGTCCGTCCAGCAATGCGCTAATAGCGCCGCTAGTGAGAGGACCGGTGGCAGGTAAGGCAAGTACCGCGCCAATCAGAGCACCAAAGAGACTAAGTCCGTGCAAGATGCGCATAATGGACCGTGCTGAGTCTTATGAGGCTGTATAAGGAACCTTTCTACTGTGAACTTGTTTTCTAAAGCAAGTTCCTCAAGGAAATCCTGTGGGGAACGCACTTGCCCAAATCGACCTTTTATGTATGGCCAAACATGATCATTGCGAAAATCCCAGAGTGCTACATCTTTTCCAGATTTGGTGTGTGATCGGTGTTAATGACGTGGGGAACCCATCGCAATGGGGCAATGTGCTATCTATTAACTTCTCTGATCACTGACGAGCATTCATGGTTTTCTATCCTGACTAACTTGAGTAGTGTTGTTCCCGTAGCAGAGCAAAAACGACTCTGGTCTTATCAGAATATTTGCCAGAAGGCACATAGCAGGAGGTACGTGGAAGTGTTCCGCGCCAGTTTCTTCAACCAAGAGCTTACGCGACGCAATCACGATGAGCAGATGGATGGATGATCACATCGCGTCGATTTGATAACGATTTTGTGCACAGACCGTCGCATGTGGAACACCACCGGCGGGGTTTGTCCGAGTCGTTGGCTGACAAAGGACCGAGGACCAAGTTCCGCCGACCTCGCACGGAGACAGCCGATCACACCCAGGAGGAACACGGAGCTTCACCATGAGGGGTCCGCGCGTTTGCGCAATCCCTTTAAAACGTCTCACGATCACGCTATCCCTCGCCGATTGCAAGTGTAAATGGTTCAGGGGCGACAAAAAACTCACTCGCTAATACAACTGCGATCATCACAGAATGAGCACAAATAGTTACCGTGAGCATGCCAAGCAATTCGTACTTTGCAATTGCAGTGACCTTTGACGCTATATACGTTTACGGGCAATCACCTTTGGCGTTGGGTGGTAAGGTGCTGTGGGCAAGGATAAATCCTTTGCACGGTTGATAACGACCATGTTGGTGTAGACTTTCCTACTTTGGCAGTGACGACGTGTACGGTACTGTGATCGTATTGTCTGTGACTCTCTGTAATCCCCACCTCGTATCTTGTTAAGGTGCATGTGGTCATCAAAAAAGCAACTCATCGGCAAGTAATTTGAAGTGTCGTGTCAGACAATTGTTACCATGCAACCCCAATGGAAGGCTGAGGGTGAACAAGAGGAGACCAAGAGAGGACCGTTTTCAGCCTGTCGTCGAAATGCCAGCCTAGGGTTGAATCAACCTGGCGTTCTTACTAGGAAGGGACCCTGAAGCACGTACTATTGGCGGTACCATTCTGAACGCTAGCTGCACTTATTTTTTGGATAGTCATATTGTTCATAAACCATTACTGATTTCATTGGTTCTTATTAGTTACCCTTAATATCGGGATTGAAATGCGTTGTGGGGATAGCGTTTGACTTTGTCTAGTCCTCCAGCATAGTGTGGAGGTGATTGAAAATAGCACCAAGACCCATTATTATCCGGATAATCCGGTTAATCATATCGCATAATCAGCACCCCCGTCTATCGCTCAAAGCGGTGCGGCATGCATGTAATGTTTTTTTTTAAACTGCGGTGAGGTGCATGCCAAAGGTCTATAAAAGGGGACCTGCTCCCTCTTCCCTCTTTCCTCTTTACCCATCCTCGACTCACAAGCATCTGTGCAACTCTTCTCATCGCGAGTCCATCATGAGAATGCAGATGTGGTGGTGCCGAGGACCTCGCCCTCCCGATGACTACAACCAACTGGAACCAGCAACAATCACTCGGAACCAACAAAGCTGCTATTATACTGCCACATTAGTTGAGCTTGGTTGGTATGTACTGATTGCATCATTTTATTTCTTGTCATCGGGTCATCTTCTGACATGCAGTTTTTTTTAGTCTCCAAGCCTTGTCACTGAACATCCTCTGGCTTGTGACGCTGCCCAGTTGATTCGCTCCTGGATGCAAGAGTCTGGCTTCAATGCCATCAAGAGTTCCAGATCAAGGCCTAGTAGGGACTGCGTGTGGTGGTGGGCAGTTATCCGGTTAGAACCAACCGTTACGTATTGCGTGTATAATTGCCTATTAGTAGCTTAGTTAGCTTTTCCGAACCGGTTGTCGCCGGTTTATTCCCTGGTGTAGTAGCTAGTGCCAGTTTCTGTCACCTCTACACTATTGAGGCAATCACATATGAAGTTCTGTGCAACTCGAGTGGTTCGAATTACTTCTCTGTTGAAATGGATGGAATCATGTAAATCCAACCACTGCTGAGCTTATACAACGTTGAAGCATTTTCCACTGATATCCTCGTTAACTTGCATATTCGCAATTTGCGTTTTCCTGTAATATAAAAAATGCATTCTTCCCTCTCAATTGTGATGGTCGATGAATGTTTCTGTCCTGTTACATCCTTGATGCGCTTCCTTTTCATCCCAACGCATTTCAAATGGAAGTATTAGAATCCCTAATTGTGCTTGCTTCTCACTCTGACCCGATCAGCACAGAAAGTGCAGCAGTCCATCACTGTAACGAGGAGCGGAGTCTGTCGTAGCAGTGATACGTGCTAGCACCGTTACATTTAAAGACAGCAGTTATGGTCCATACGACGCAAAGTGCAGTTCTGTTCAGAAATCTGTGAACCTCCAGTCGGGAATTTCCGTTGGACGCCAGTCAACGCAGCTTGTGGATTGTCGACGATCTCTTATCTGTTTCGCTCATCTTTTTAGCTCGATAGGCTCAACCCCCTGAACAAGCCACGTGTGTCGGCGTGTCACATGTCAGCGTTCCTTGGCACTTTTCTAAACGAAACTTCCCCCAGAAAAGATTTTCGAACGGCGGGATCCTCCGAGGCCTCCGACAGCATCATTTACGCGCCTTGGTACAGGCCACGACAAAAATACTGTAGACCGCATCGATTTTGCAGAACGTTCTTTGACCGAGTTTCATAGACTCTTTGATTCTGTGTTGTTGTGTAGCATTGTCTGCTAGGGGGCTGAAGGTAATTAAGGAGCTGCAATTATGCCTTTAATGTTCACTTTGGGTAGTCGCGCACCCTAATCAAATGAAGACTTGTATGTCGACACGATGAGCTGTGCCTCATGGTATCCTTGTTGCCGAACATGCAGAATACGAGTTCACAAATCGGTAATACCTTGGAGCGGACGATAAATTGCTCACGTGGGCGCAGAACCAAATTGTTGTGGTCTTGCTGGTTTAGATCACGAGCATGGATGGATCCTGGAAGCCGTCCCTAGGTCGTCCTTTTACACTTTCAAAACTACAAGGGATTTCGAAACGATCCACTACATTGTCCCGTATTGTATCGGTTAACGTTAACTGCCCTAATGCTGAAGGATTAGGGAGGATCTTAACCGCGATGAAGATCACACGGTACATCTGGTCGGTCAGCAAAGAACGCAACGATCTGGGATTCAACGACGGTGGTTCGATAACCCAGAACAGGACGTCGTTAATAAGAGTTATATATCTGCAAGGTTCTCTCCATCAAAGGATGGCAAAAAAAATGCCAAAAAACAAAACAAAAACAATTAAAGTAGGTCTGGCCCATGTGACAGCGTGACTTTTGTCGGGCAGGCGGGACGAAAAGTTCGCCGCAGGTTGTTGGGCGAGACCGCTGTCACACCAGAGCCCCGCACCCAAAACTCTTTCTAAGGGCGACACATCTAGACAATGCACACATTGTCTCATCGTCTTCTAGAAAAATGGGACGGCGGCAAAAAGGAATGTTTTAATTGAACCTGGATCTGGGGCTTGTAGCTGCTCTTAACTCTGTTTGCTCTAACCCAAAGAGCAACATAGCCACATATTAATCGGAGGCAAAATTGTTGAAATACACCCTCGTGCAGAAAATAACATGTCATTTTTCTTTTGCCAATAGCGCGGTCGTTTTTTTTTTTTTTTTTCAAAAGTGGGCCGCTTGGCTGAGTTGTCGCCGACATGGTAATTATTTGCTTTTTCATCAGGGGAAATCCGGAGACCAGGAATTTTGCTCCGCGATGTGAAAATCGAACTTTTAAAAGCGCAGATATACCGTTTTCAATCAATTTTACCATCATTTACAAGGTTTTTTCTATATCATTTTTTATGGGCGCTCGTTTTCATGGGATACATACCCGTGGCTAAGACCCTTTGAGGTTATCATGGAGATGGAGCCATGTCCGAGGCCGGACATAGTCAATTTTATGACGCTCATGTCTGCTGGTGTGGGCCAGAAAATAAATCTATCCGTCGCCATCGCTCGAGCTCGCTTTGAGGGGCATGGCAGCGCGAGGATGCCAGTTACCGAACTGCTCCGCTATTGACGGAGCGCCTTGCTCTTAGTTCTCTCCGATGGCAGCAGTTGTGTACTCTCCATTGGCCATCAGCATGAGCGATCACGCCCGCCCATACCAGTTTTCAGAAGCGTCCTCAGATGAGCATGCAGCACCAGATCCGCTGGTCAGCACCTGTACCCAAAATCTTAGAGAAGCATTCGACGTTGTATCCTATGAAAT